ACCCGCCTCGGCCTCCCAAAGTGCTGGGATTACAGGCTTGAGCCACCGCGCCCGGCTGTGCTCTTTTTCACTGCAAACTCTACTTCCCAGGTTTAAGCAATTCTTCTGCCTCAGCTTCCCAAGTAACTGGGATTACAGGTGCCCGCCACCATGCCTGGCTATTTTTATATTTTTAGTATAGACAGAGTTTCACCATGTTGGCCAGGCTGGTCTCGAAGTACTAACCTCAAGTGATCCACCCATCTTGGCTTCCCAAAGTGCTGGGATTATAGACTCAGTTTCTTTATTATCTTTTATTATATGCAGTGATGCAATCTTGGGTTCCACCTCTGAGTTCAAGCAATTCTCCTGCCTCAGCCTCCTGAGTAACTTGGATGACAGATGCCCACCACACCTAGCTAATTTTGTATTTTTAGTAGAGATGGAGTTTCACCATGTTGGCCAGGCTGGTCTCCAACTCCTGACTTCAAATGATCCATCCACCTTTGCTTCCCAAAATGTTGGGATTACAGGCATGAGCCACCATATTCAGTGTCTTTTCTAAATTAGAGATGGGATGTTGCTATATTGGCTAGGTTGGTCTCAAACTGCTGGACTCAAATGATCCTCCCATCTCAGCCTCCCAAGTAGCTGTAATTACAGATGTAGGTCACAGCTCTGACTGGGCTGATTTTCTAGAATGAAATTCTGAATTCTGAGTGGCGAAACTAAGAAATATCCCTCATCAATCTTACCATTTGTAGCCCATTGAATATTTCATTCTTCAAAAAACCCTGCTGATGTGATGGCCCTTGGGATCTAGGTTGTATTTCCCATTCTGAAGTTAAGCAGAAAAAGAAATGTAAGAGTTTAGAGAGGAAATGTTATATTGAAATAGTTTAAAATGATGAGTCATTTGTACTTGTTTTCAAATTAAACATAGTAACAAAATAAAAGCCAGAGAACCTTGAGGATTTTGGTATGGCAAAGAGTTGGCTATAAGGATGTGGGGTTTATTACACAGCTGATGTGTTTAGACAGCTTATTATAAACTGCTTCTGTGAAAACTGAAACTGATGATGAATAGGAAGAGAAGATTATCAGGAAGGGAAAGTAGGAAAGATCTGGATAAAGAGCATATATCAAAATGATAAACTTAACCAAACAACAGAATGGTACTTTTGTTAGATCATAGAAAAGTCTGACTAGATGGAAAATAAAAATCAGACATATCTGAAATTCTGAGAAAAATAGCTTAAATCTTCTAAGGCAAAATGCATCTTAAAAAAAAAAAAATTTTTTTTTTTTTTTTTTGAGATGGAGTCTTGCTCTGTCACCAGGCTGGAGTGCAGTGACACAATCCCAGCTCACTACAACTTCTGCCTCCTGGGTTCAAGCAATTCTTCCACCTCAGCCTCCCAAGTAGCTGGGACCACAGGCATGTGCCACCACACCTGGCTAATTTTTTTTTGTATTTTTAGTAGAGAAAGGGTTTCACCATGTTGGCCAGGATGGTCTCGATTTCACCTCATGATCTGCCCGCCTTGGTCTCCCAAAGAGATGAGATTACAGGCGTGAGCCACCGCACCCGGCCTTTTTTTTTTTTGAGACACAGTCTTGCTCTGTCGCCCAGGGTGGAGTGCAGTGGTACAATCTCGGCTAACTGCAACCTCCACCTCCCAAGTTCAAGCCATTCTCCTGCCTCAGCCTCCTGAGTAGCTGCGATTACAGGTACGAGTCACCACACTGGTTAATTTTTCTATTTTTAGTAGAGACGTGGTTTCACCATGTTAGCCAGATGGTCTCAATCTCCTGACCTCGTATCTGCCCACCTTGGCCTTCCAGAGTGCTGGGATTACCAGTGTGAGCCATAGTGCCCGGCCTAGTTACTTTATTTCTTACTGAAATGAAAGTCTGGTCCCACAGATAAGGCCAGGTGCCATGGCTCACACTTGTAATCCCAGCACTTTGGGAGGTCAAGGCCGGTGGATCACCTGATGTCAGGAGTTTGATACCAGGCTGGCCAACATGGCCAATACCCATTTCTACTAAAAATAATTTTTTTAAGAAATTAGCTGGGTGTGGTGGCAGGTGCCTACAATCCTAGCTACTTGGGAGGCTGAGGTGTGAGGTTGCAGTGAGCTGTGACTACACCACTGCATTGCAGCCTGGGTGACAAAGCGAGACTCAATCTCAAAAAAGAAAAAGAAAGAAATAAAGTAAGTACAACATAAAGATCCTTGCCATAGGATGTCAAACATGATGGTATATTGAATTCATCTTCAGGGATTCTGAAAATACAGATGACTGGTTTCAAATGCTAAAGTTTCCAATTTAGTACATCAAAGATAGGGGAAGGAAGATGTACATTTCTTTTTTTTTTTTTTGAGACGAACTCCTGCTCTGTTGCCCAAGCTGGAGTGCAGTGGCTCCCTGCAATCACCACAGGTTCAAGCAATTATGTAGCTCTGCCTCAGCTTCCGGAGGTTTCACTACGTTGGCCAGGCTTTTCTCAAACCTCTGACCTCAGGTAATCCATACGACTTGGCCTCCCCATGTGCTGGGATTATAGACGTGAGCCACTGCACCCGACGTAGTCTTTCTTTCTATGATTTC